CCAATTGCCATTAGATCACAATCCCTTACAACCTTTTGCCATTAGACCACAATCCATTACCACCCTATGGCCATTAGCCCCATCCTTTACTACCCTAGGGGCAGAAGACCACAATCCCTTACCACCCCAGGGCCAGTAGATCACAATCCCTTACCACCCTATGGCCATTAGAAACCAATCCCTTACCACCCTATGGCCAGTAGACCACAATGCCTTACTACTATATGGCCATTAGACTACAATCCCTTACAACCCTATGGCCATTAGACTACAATCCATTACAACCCTATGGCCATCAGGCCACAATCCCTTACCACCCTATGGCCAGTAGACCGCAATCCCTAACCATCCTAGGGCAAGTAGACCACAATCCCTAACCATCCTAGGGCAAGTAGACCACAATCCCTAACCATCCTAGGGCAAGTAGAACACAATCCCTTACCATCCTAGGGCCATTAGACCACAATCCCTAACCATCTTAGGGCAAGAAGACCACAATCCCTAACCATCCTAGGGCAAGTAGACCACCATCCCTTACCACCCTATTGCCATTAGACCACAATCCCTTACCACCCTATCTCCATTAGACCACAATTTCTTACTACCCTTTAGCCATTAGACCACAATCCCTTACTACCCTATGGCCATTAGAACACAATCCCTTACCACCCTAGGGCCAATAGACCACAATCTTTTACCACCCTATGGCCAGTGGACCACAATCCCTTACCACCTTAGGGCCAGTAGACCACAATCCCTTACCACCCTATGGCCAGTAGACCACAATCCCTTACCACCCTAAGGCCAGTAGACCACAATCTCTTATCACCCTAAGGCCATTAGACCACAATCCCTTGATACAACTCACTCTTTAGCAATGTCATCCTGATAAATTGTCTCCCCTTCTTCAGATCTCACTGTTGTCTGATTATTAGTTGTTCTGTCTCCACCAGTGCTTTCAGTGCTCAGGCACTGTGATGTTGTTATAATACTTCTGATCTGTTGTCGAAATTTGTGGTTTACACCTGAAATGTTCATTTTCATTATTTACAGCAAAGGGGAATAACTCTGTTTATAAATGATGCAAAACACCGAAATTTAAGGGGACTCTCATGTGATCAAACATCGCCAAAGTCCATTGATGACTTTCATTTTTTTTATATATGCATACACAATCAAATTTTGCTAATTCAAGGGATAGTAAAGCTATTTTCTAATCATGTGCATTCGGAACAGTGATAGCATTGATCATCTTATCACAAACAGGTTTGGTTTGGACACGATGAGCCAAGACTTCTATGTAATCTAAAGATCTTTGCCATCTTAAGAGACATCATAAAATGCCTAGTTTTAGTGGCAATGCCCCCTGTAGCCAGGGGCCTAATCGTGTTGTCTAGAAATTGTATTTTTTAGTCATGGCAACTGATAAATCCAACTGATAATATATACTCTTGTTGACCAAGTTGGAGACTAAATTTTATGTCCATTCTAAGAGGTAGTATTCCTTTAAGATATCAAATCAAATAAGTAATAAATGAGATAAATTTGCTTGTGGAAGGGGCATTTACATTTCACAACACATAATACTTAAGAAGGGAAGGAAATGGGTTTTCCCTAGAGTAGATATCATTAACTTTCTGAGAGATTATCAAAAGGCTTTGCAATGAAATAACAGTAATAAAGGAAAAGACAATTTATCGAAAAAAAACAACACCAGAAACCCCAATAGGACATTTCCAATTAAAACTGAATAATTCTGTATTAAGATAACTGGTTACATTTGTTTTGTTGGTATAATATGTATAATATTAAACAGTTTTTTAACAAAATGTGTTTCAGCTTTAGACCTGTTTTGGCACATTAGCAACAGAATCATTCTACATTCACTTCTCATTTATAACATATTTCACTAGAGTTTTTGTTGGTCTATTATTTCAGACAGTCTCTTCAACAAACTGTCAATTAAATCAAAAGTGTTCAAAGCTGACTTGACAACAAACATTTCTTCCTTTTCAGACATTTGCGGTAAACTAGCACCACCTACAGACACTTCAAAATCAGTAGTGTCCCGTTTGGTCCTCTGCTTTCCTTCTATGATCTTTTTTAGCTCTAAATCATAATGAGCTTTGGACATATCAAGGCCGACACGTAGCGGTTTGAAAAATCTTGTCTCCATCTCTTTCAAATTGTCCCATATTCCAGTCTTATTCTCTTTCGGAGGATCACGAATAACCAAATATCGGAACAAATTCAAAACTGTGATGATTCGATCGGAATGTTCCAAAAGATCAGTTGTCTCCCCTTCTGGAAGAATCACTGCGAGACGTAGCAATCTCTCCAAACGACGTCCAAGAAATAATTTATCTGGATTTTTTTCCATCAAGGCATCTTTAATATCGTCCTTGATCAGCTTGATGACGAAACCATTTACGCCAGAATGTTTACACGTGTTTAAAATATTTTGATAAATCTGATACCGCCCATCAGACTGGAAAATCCTGATGAAAGAGGCAAAAATCTTAACTGCATCTTGACGAATATCTTTAACTGAACAACGCACCATCACATCAATCAAATTTTTCACAATGTTACTATAGTGATCATTATCCAATCGAATGTAAGAAAGGGTGTCACATGATATCAATTGAAGAAAGGATTCTAGAAGTTTTAAGCCCTTGATTATTAAAAGGGACCTGGTACATTTCAACAGTACATTAATAAAAGGCAAATTAAATTCAAAGACGTATAAATTAGAATAAATACACGGAAAACGTTCAACACCAAGTTTCTCAGAATGAACCAAATAGGACAAACAACACAAGCTGTGGACAGGAATGATTTCATTGAATCTTAGAGACGGTACTTTCGCTTTGTTTTTATTCTTCGATTTTTCATCTTTCTGTCCTTTCAATCTCTTTTCATTTTCTTCATTTTCGATCTCCATTGCAGTTTTTCGAAAATTTTCATCCAAATCAATCATCAAAGGCTCCTTTTTCACTGCATATTCCATCATTTTTTGAAAATCGGTTTCCAAATGAGTAAAGAGTTCCATCAATTTTTCGACAATGACTCTACTAGTGTTCTTTACACTCCTGTCCTCAAGTTCAAAGTCAAGGTCAAGGTAAATAACTGGATGATCAAGAATTTTCAGTAAGTGGATTTTTAAAACAATAATTTGAGCCTGGACGTTATCATTATTCAAAGATGTAGAAGTTTTCAACGAAACTTCTTCAATAAATGGACGCAAGAAGTTTAAAAAGATGTCCAGCAGTTGGTTGATTCGTGACACTTCTGGGCACATTGCCAATAATTTTCGCTCTTGATTTTCAAGTGCGTTGTCTTCAGGTACAGGCAATGACATTATGTGACTGGTTAATGTTTCTAAAGCTAAATCTAAAGAATGAAATCTTTTGTTTGGAAGTCGTAAAAGTGTTTTCTGTATAAATGAGATCAACATTGTGAATTTAACATCGTTGTCATGGAATTCACATTGCTCTAGTAACGCCAACAACATTTCCTTGGCGCTCCCCTCGGTTACGATGTACATTAAACACATTTCACACGCTTCCAGAAACACAGTGTGATTCGTTGCGTTGAACTCTGTTAAATGTTGACACACTTCCGCACTGATATCCCAATAAGCATTCTGATTGGTTAAATTCCTATCAATAATGTATTTTTTCAATCCTCTGCCGTCCCGATTCTCTAAGAACTTCTTGACATCAACTAGATTATCTGTGTCTATGACCTTTGGTACAGTCTGTATAACATCTTCCATTGATTTAGCCATTTTTGTTTGCCTCAATCACATAGAAAAGAAATCAAATTCAAAATGTCTGGTCAACTGTTGTAGTATTATTATGTATTTAATTTCAACTTGTCTTTTGGAATACAGTTTCCAATCAATTTAAAATATGATCTGTTTTGTCTTTAACTGTGATTCAAATTGTAACTTTTTGACAGTACTGTTACTCAAAATTCTAAATGGTTGACCCAATATCTTTGTTAACCTGTGGTTTAGGTCTCCAATGAAATATTTGTCTGTCAATCCTCCTGTGGAAACTTTTCGACACTGTTCACTATTCTTCATGCACAGAGGGTGACCCAATAACTTTGCTAGCTTATCTCCAATTAGGAAAATGTCTGTCTCCTCCTTGCAATTTCATTCCAGACTTCGAGATATTTTGTTTCTTGAGTTTCAGTAATTGATTTTTCATTCTGAAATGAAAAGAAACCATTTTAATAAAAAAGCTGCCAGGAGATTGTCAACAAAATTTCTTAGCTTTTAATTCAGAACTAGAAAAGATTAGATTTAGAGGTATCGGTACAGATTTCCTGAGAATATTTGAAGGAAAAATTGTTTTATTCATATCTCCTGTAAGCTTTATACCAGAATGGTTTCTTCCATTGGCCTAAAACAGGGCATCTTTCACTGGACAAGTTCTATCAGTCAATCTGTGGAACAGATTATGTATATTGGATACAATTCTCCCTCAGGTACTGAGCACAGATTTATCAATTTCTGTTAACATTGTAAATCTTGGTAAATGTCCCCCCCCTCAGAAAACCTGGGGGTCATGATCTCCTGTGCCTTTCAATTCGCGAATCTCAAGTCTCAAATGTCTTGTCAGAATGTCAGACTTTGCGAGAGTAACCGTGACACCACCATTTTGCCTATTTTCGAGTCTAGCCTTCTATTTTGTAGTCTAACATATTGATTATTTCAAGATTATCCCTATAAACCTTGTATAACAATTTGAGAGCCTATTGAACCAAAAACTCGTATAATAATACAGTATACGAGGTTTTTCAATTTCATCTGCAGAAAAGGAACATTGTACAGTGGTGTAACCTATTTTCGTGCATATAAGGATTCAACACCAAATTTCATCAAAGTTAAAAAAACGAAAAAAATTTTATGTCTTAGATGCTTCCTCGGATACTCTACAAAATAATTAAAATTGGTTTGTTCAATTTTCTTTATGAATCCTTCACTTTGACCCATATCTCATGAGCAACTAACTCGGCAATGGCGGCAGAATGCGTCACCTATTTTCGTGTACAATGTTTGATCTATAAATATGTCTAGAAAAACATGTTGTATGGATACCGGGTGTTATAATTAACTTCTCTTAGTACCGGTATTTATCTTTAATATCAATTCATTATAACTAGTGACAATTCCTTCAAAGAACCATGATTTTAAAAAAAATAGTGACTGACAAAATAAGATACGTAGCGTGATTTATTGCTAAAGGTCACTGAAACAACATAAAAATATGGCCCACTTTGTGTTCCAAAGAAATTTTCTGCTGACACGGAATCCGCTAGTTGATCATGTGAATTCATTCGTTGGACTACATTCTAGCAGATGACACTTGGAATTCCGATTACCGCTTGGGATTGTAAGGAAATTTGGCCGATAAAAAATGGTGACGTTTGGTAATAAGTGAAAACCGCCATTTTTGTCAAAGGATACATTAATACATTTTACCTTGCTTGAAACTACTGGATTTATTCTACTAGCTGATATTGTAGAGATAACACATGTTTATCAAAACAAGCAAATGCGGAGGTCACGCGAGGTCGCACATGTAAATTATTAATCATTTTCGGAGATGCACGAAAAATAGGTTAGCATGAAATTAGGTTACTTGACTGTACGTGTTTTTTAATTAGTGCTTTAAAATTAGAGTTATTTATAATCAAGCTAAGAATACGAGGTTTTGATAACAAGATCCGCGCTTTTACGAGCTTTCGAACGGTACCAAAAAGTCAATACGACCAGTAAGGCATATACGAGTTATCAAGCGGTCACCCACGATATTATGCATATTTGTAGAAAGTTGTCGACGTTGGAAATGTTGACCTTTGCAAAATTCAACACATGCCTTCATTGTAATAAACACCGAGGTTTTGATGGATATTATATAACTAAAGCAATGTCGAACAAATACAAACCTCTAGTTAAAAACAGAATCATTTTAATGCAATTTGTATGTGTCATGGG